AGCAAGGGAGGGAAAAGCAGGTTGATAGTCCCGATCAGTCCTCAGAAACGTTGAAACAGCAAATATGCCCACTAGGGCATGCAGATAACACGAGAAACAGGAAAGATCAGCAATCGTGCAGATTTCTCTTTTTCCGACTCGATCGTCTTTCCCAGAGCCAATTGCGCCCTCGTGCCAACAGGATGCAAACTAAGTAGACCCGCTGCAGTCAGACTACAAAAGGAAATAACTTGGGTAGAAATAGGGTGTGTAGATTCACTGCAGGATTGCTGAGTAATGGACAAAACGCTTGGTCCCAGCCGCGACTCGAACCTGGACCTTACTCTAAAGGGCCCATGACTAACCATTGCACCAACCAGACCTCCTTCTTACGAGTTTTAGATTGAAGAGGAAGCACCCAAGCCACCTTCTTGTTGTTGTAGGCTAACCATAAGAGAAGAAGCACGAAAAAAGCAATACATCTTGGGAAAACAGCAAGTAGTCACTTTTTTGTAGTACCCCACTCTCCTTCTGAAACCCATTACCTGTGATGAGAAAATTGTTTCGAGTACCCGATACCCTTTTAGCCGTTGACTATCATGCTTGGAATACTTCCTTCCGTAATCTCGTATATGTGGGCTAATAGCCTTATCCGCTGCAATTACCAATGGCCGAGAATTGTCTGTGACGGCTTTGCATTTGACGAAGGCAATTCATTCCACACATGCTTCAGCGTATGGTGCGTAATTACGCGTAGTGATGGGAGTGAGTGGAGTGCATGGGACTGAGTGGGATGATTATGAACGATGGCATTCACATCCGTCAGTATCCATTGGGGTTGTAAATCCATGTAGTTGCTTCGAAAAGGTAGAATTTTCCCGTTTACCATGATGAGAAAGCCGGGCGAGAGAGGGTAAAGGATGGCACTTATGAAGCTTCCAGGGATGCCTCACATTCGATTCGCTTCTGAACTAACGACGCTTGAATTCGTACAGGTCACGAAATGAAGTGTGGTCTTTGAACCCATCAGGACACTTCTACCCTCCTTGATGACTTCCAGGTCTTGCTGACCCTAAATGACCCTGAAGAGGCGAATGGATTCGGTCTCCCGGATTAATTTTGATCAGTGAAGTGGTGACGGCGACGCGTTAAGCTACTGCGCTGACTTTCCATCCCAAAAACACTGGCCCAAACATCCATCATCTGTAATGCATGCATTACTCTTATTTTCGCTGATGACATATGACCTAGCTTGTCAAACGCCATCGCGACTTCGTTCAAGTTCAATTTTCATTGCCTTGAATTTACCTTATCGGGTGGCGCTATGCACTTTCGCTACCTAAAGCATTGAAGTGGCTGGATAAGGCGCTAAAGAAACCCTCTAAGGGAGGCTTTTGATACGTCCTTGTAGAAACTGGGATTCACGCGTAGATACCTGTATGAACAAACCGTCCTTGACATTCAGTTCGCAGCCACCTCCAGTAGTATCTTCCGCAATTTAGGGCTTGAGGAAACGTTCTTATTACCATCATAGTAACTTTAGTTTTGCGCGAGGGATCTATTAAATGTTTCCCTTCAAGATTACTTGCTCAACAAATATCATTGTAGGGCTCTGCGTGCATTCATTTAATCGTACTCCTTCTTCCATACGGGCTAGGTGTAGCCGGCTGATAAAAAGTGATGGAAACATTCGGGCTGTGCAGAAAAAGGTAGAAAGAGTCATGGACCGCAGAAGTACGCAGAACAGCGCCAGCTTTCCAAAGTTCAAAGCTAGGAAGTTTGGACCAGGTTCATGAGAAAGCAGGGGATCATGTTTAGTTAGGGGCGATTGCATGAGCAGAATATGGGTTACGGGGCTCCCTTGTCAAATAACACGTTCTCTCGCTACGAGGGTCCAGGGGTATTTGCGCGAGACATCTACCAGTCCAGTAGTTGAAGGGAGAAGGTAAAGGAGGAGGGATTAGAGAAGGAAGGAAGGAAAAGAAGGAAGGAGGAAGAAAAAAGGAAAGAGAGGCGAAGCCTCCCGGTTGACAAGTGCCCTGAGACGGAGGTTATGCGCATCCGCACCCTCTCACCGAAATAGTGATCGCATTCTATACGGACTCTAGAGTCTAGAGACTACTAATCGCAAGAGTGTCCCTAACCCTGTCTCGCTGCGCAGCTCTTCCTCGCCCCTTTTCAGCTACTTTTGACGTGAAGGCAGAAAAATAAGGAGCTCAAGGAGAAACGAAAAATGATGGTGGACCTCTGTATTGCCTACACGCTGTAAACTTTCAGGAGCGAACTTCTGCATATGAAACTGCCAGGACATAATTGACAATTAATCAACTTCACTTTCCCCAAAACTCATAAACGAACGTGTGTCGCCCATACCGGAGGGCAACAAGAGGCGTAACTACATGTTCAATGCCTTTCTCTTCTCTTAACATACAGCTCTGGCTCTTTTTCGTATGAACCCTCTCAAGCCTCCTTCTCTAGCAGGGTAGAAAAAGGCTAGTGTGTCAGTAAAAACAGAAAGCTAAGGTGATATTTCTTTTCTTTCAGTTCCTCGAATAGACGTAAAATGGTCGAGCTGGTCAGCTTGGTCGGACTGTTCAGCAACCTGCGGTGAAGCGGTCCAGAAACGCCAACGATACTGCGAAAATGCTAAACCGTATCCCGATAAAGGTTGTGAAGGAAATCTATATGAGACGAGAAGCTGTTCTTTGGCTGAGTGTACAGGTAAGGATAAATGGAGACAGTCGAGGAGTGCAGTTTCCTACAAAGTCAGAGGTTTCGCTGAGGAGGAAGAGGAGCCATCTGGGACAGGTCTCGTGGTGAACCACTGAAACATCCGAGATCTCTCCGCTCGCACTCCCGAAGAATTCTTTTGGCCAGTAGAAAGGAAGATTTGTCCGAAACTGCTCTCTGACATATTTGGGAGTTCGAAAACAGCAAAATTGGTTTTTATTGCAGATGAGAT